GAGGCAGGGTGAGCTGAGTCCCTGCAGCGCCACCCAGACACCCCCAAGGAGAAAAAATAAAAATAAAAATCCACAAGCCCCTCTCCTGAGATGCCTCCCAACGCCCGTGCCCGGGTCCTCACCACCGAGCTGCAGCGGGGGATCCTGCGCTCGCTGCTGCAAGCCCTTCATGGTCTCCACCAGCTCCTGCTGGAACTCCTGGATTACTTCTTCCAGGAGACCCGTGTCCTTCAGGCCTCGCCAGAAAGCAAAGGTGTCATCTGGAAAAAGAGAAAGCAAGGGAGAACCTCAGAATCCTCAGAGGGGGCTTTAATGGGGATTTTTTAAATAGTGATCTGCTCTGGCTTCCCCTTCTGGTCCCTACAGGGGTGAAGAAGCCCTGCCAGGCTGTAGGGCGCTGGGGCACGGCCCAGCCTGAGCTCGTACCCGAAGGAGGGGCAGCTGGAGAAGGACACGCTTTCCCCATCCTCTGCCACGCACAAGCAGGACACTGACAGAAAAGCCCGTTGCTCAGAGCACACCAGAGGAGCAAGGATGAGTTCAGGACCCCTCTGATTATTTTTTCTTCTCCCCCCAAGAGCCACACCGAGCATTCGGCCTCTGCTTTGACATCTTCGTGCTCAGAAACAACTTCATCCCAAGAGGATGCTGCCCTCAGAGCGCACCCGGGCGGGAGGTAAGGCTGAGCCGTGCGCCGGGAAGCGGCAAGTGAATAACCCCAGTGGAGGCTCATGCAGGGCTGCTCCGGAAAGAAGGGTCCTGCTCCTCATCCCCGCTGTTTCCATCTTCCCTACATCTCCCCCACCCTCTGCCCTGGAGGCACTGAGCCTGGTGGAACCCAAGCCCCAAGCCGTACCGGGATCCCAAGCCCCACCGGGATCCCAAGCCCCACTGGGATCCCAAGCCGTACCTCCAACGCTGCTGCTCCACTCGCTGGCATCCTCACAGGTTTCTATGGTAATCGTAGCTGGGGATCCGTTCACTGCAACCAACAGCAAAAAGAAAAGAGAAAAAAAAAAAAGCCAAATCCTGATTTTTCTCTGTGTTTTTCACGGGCCCTTTCCGAGGGAAGCGCTCCCTTCCCGCACTGCCGTGACTTCTCCTTTTCACCGCGGAGGAACGCTGTTACTGGAGCGCAGCTCCCCAGGCTGAACGGGGAGAGACGCCCCAGCAGACGGAGAAGCCCCACGCGGTGGCTGTGCCTGCAGTACTTATTTTTCCACGCCGGAGCACAACCCCCCGGGGGTTACTTCTGCAGCCCTTGCACAACAACACACGCCCGAGAGCAGCCCTGCCCTCCCGTGCCCCCCTGCGCACACCCCAGTACTGCTCGGGGCAAAAGTCAAACAGATTGAGAATCCCATTTTTTATTTTTTTTCTTGGCAATCCTTTTTTTGCCCAGCTTCTGGTTTGCAGGACGGGGATGCCTGGAGGGTTTCTAAAGCCTTCAAGGGGAGAGCATCCCGCCCCCCCCGTGCTGCGCAATGATGCAGGGGGGCTCCCCCTCCCTCCCTCCAGCTCTGCCAAATCTCAGTGGGTTTGTTACCATCGAGCCGGGGGAAGGGGCCTCATCCGAGCCGCGTGCAGGAGCGGGACACGAAGGGGAATCCGGCCAGAGACCCGCGGGGCTGCGCGGAGCGTTCGCAAGGCTCAGCCCCCGCCGTCAAATCCAGCCGCTCCGCTCCTGCCCTCTGCAGCCTGCGGGGCTCTGGTTATTCCCAGCAGCCTGGGAAGCGTCTCCCAGTTCGGGAGCTGATGTCCATGTTCACGGGAGGGCTCGGGACAGGCTGCACCGGG